TATATGAGGCCGCTGGGTGGGGTCATCAGGGGGTGTGGGGCATTGTGTCATCAGTATGGTGATGACACCCAGCTCTACATCTCCTTTCCACCAACTGCAGGAGATGCCGTTCTGTCCCTTCAGCGCTGCCTGGGGGCTGTACTGCAATGGATGCAGGAAAATGGGCTGAGGCTGAACCTGGACAAGACAGAGGTTCTGATAGTGGGTGCCCCACTGTCGGCGGCTTGGGTGACTCTGTCTCATTTGGGGGGGATGACCCTTGCCGCAAAGAGTGGTGTTCGCAGCCTGGGGATCCATCTGGACCCGGCGCTCACCATGGAGACTTAGGTGGCTGCCTCTTTCCACCTTTGGCGGATTGCCCGGCTGCGACCCTATCTCGATGTTGGGGCGCTCACTACCTTGGTACATGCGCTTGTAATCTTGAGATTAGACCACTCTAATGTGCTCTACGTGGGGCTGCCTTTGAGGCTGCTGCGGAAACTACAGGTGGTGCAGAATGCGGCGGCCAGACTCCTTAGTGGAGCGAGAAAATACCACCATATTTTTCCTATTTGGCCGCGCTGCATTGGCTGCCCATTCGGTTCCACGTTGACTTCAAAGTCTTGATGCTTACGTATAAAGCCCTAAACGGTTTAGGGCCTCGATACTTGGCGGAACACTTACTCCCACCAAGCTCTACCCGTGTCACTCGTGTGAGTCAGGAGGTGAGGCTGAGGAGCCTGACGCCAAGAGAGGCCCGGAAGGAAAAAAAACAAGAAACCGGGCCTTCTTGGTGGTGGCTCCTCGCCTCTGGAACAATCTGCCTCCGGAGATTCGCACGGCTCTCTCGGTGGGTACTTTCAAAACCCAATTAAAAACGTGGATGTTTAGGCAGGCCTTCCCTCCAGTTAATTCCCGATTCTCTCTCCTCCTTTCTCTATTGTGGTTTATTTTTCGTTTGTTCTCAATCTTGAAGAATTGCCTAATTGTGCAATAATTCCTTTTTTATATTTATTCATGTATTTTGTGTTGTAAGCCGCCTAGAGTGGTCGCAATGACCAGATAGGCGGGATATAAATAGAATAAATAAATTAAATAAATAATATATACCTTACTCAACCTCTAGGCAAAACTCAAACAAGCTGTCAGGATGAAGTGGCATAACTTCACTTACCTGGACATCATGCTTTCAAGAGATTCAAAATCTTCTGTCAGGTTCTTCACTTCAGCCTGGACTTTTGCAGCCCCTTCTGAAGAAGAATTAGCTGCAACCACTTCCCCTCTGACCGCTATGAATTGCAACTGGTTCTCTCTGTCTGGAAATTCAGCTTGAAGTCTCTGCAAAACAGAAGGCCAACACTCGTGGAAACCCAGGAGACAATCCCAGTTTCTGCAACTCTTTGGGAACAGATTCATCTGTATTTTCTTTTACTAGTGTTTTATACACTATAAATGGTAAACCCTGGCCGCATAGAGTGCAATCCTATCGACATGGGCACAGGCTAAGCATTCACGTCCCCTTGCTGTCCTGTGCCACTTCAATTTGATGGCATTTGGAAAGAAACTCTACCCCTTGCCACCAAGAACCAAGGCATGTGGAGAGTGTGCATTTTGTTTTCATTTATGGAAGGCTTTTGGGAACTTGAATAATCTTTTAAAACAAGGCGCACAACTCCTGTGTGCCCTGTTTTACAACAAAAATTTGGGGGGTTTGACCTGCCATTGCACAACAAAATTTATTAGCATGCAGAGCTGCAACTACAGGAATGAAGGAGGGCCACATGGAGTCCTCAGCTCATGCGCATGCACCACCCCCATCTATAATAACAGCTCAATAAACTGAAAACATGTATCCTTAGAAAGTTTAGGAAGGCAGTTACCTTCCCATTGATGTAATGTTTTAGAACTATTTTCTTTTTGTTTGTATTCTGAAGCTATTTAGCCCTGATTCAGAGAAAATCTGATAAACTTGTAGGCATCCTTCAGTCTCGAGAGACTATGGTGTCGTGCTCTGTATGGAGGACTTGGAACAGCGTCTAGTGTGGCTGAAGAGGCCAATTCGAGAGTGACAATCCCTTCCACACTGAAGACAAATCCAGTCTCTCCCCTGTCCAGCTGCCTGCTTTTGCTGCTTTTGTGACTTCCTCTTTGCCTCGGCCTGCTGGACAAGGGTCTCTTCAAATTGGGAGAGGCTGTGATGTAGCGCCTGCCTCCAGGCTGAACGCTCAGATGTCAGAGTTTCCCATTTGTTGAGGTCTATTCCTAAGGCCTTCAGATAATCTACTGTAACAAATCCCAGTTAGGCTCCCATGCAGTTAACCTTTTTTGAATCAGGACAAAGCTTTTCTCAAGTAAAAAAGAATGCAGTGATGAAAATACCACAAATCCTATTTATGCAGTACAGAAAGTGATCACAAGAGTCCTGCTGAGTCAGCCCAAGGGTTCATCTAATACAGTGGTGGACAACTGATGTCGCCCCCAGTCCCATTCAGCCCTTGGCCTCTTCTCCAAAACGGCCATACAAATGATCAGTCCTGGCCTCTGGCAAGAATAATTTGTCTCTTCAGCAACAGCCAGCTGAGGATGATGGAAAAGAGAGGAGAAAAGGGCATCCCTGAACAAGACGTTGAAAGCAAAAGGAGGAGGGGGAAGGAGGAAAATTTGTCTAGTAGAGCAAGAGGCAGAAAAGGTGTCTGAACAAGAAATACAGAGTTGATAAAGGATGTTCCTATTAGGTTTTTATGTTAGCCACTTCCACTGCTGACATGTGACCCTCATCAAGTTACTACTGAAGAAAAAGAAAGATTCCTCAGCCTTGATCTCATTCAACATCTTTTTTTCCCACTGTAGACTCCTCACTGTCTCCATGAAGTTTTCATGGGTTTGGAGATAGTAAGTTTTTATTTCCACCTCCTGTAACTGGTATGCAGTGGCATAATGCCTCTGAACCTAGATTTATTTAGATATTAGAACACAATGGTTGTACAGTAGTTTCATGTAAGGTGTTCTTCAGATCCCAAAGAAAGGTTGTAATTCAAGAGACACTGGGAGAGGAAAAAAGTCTTTTTTTTCCTAAGAGTATTTTCTTTTCAGTGATTGCTGGCCCCTTCTAGTCTCTGGATTTTATTAGTGAGTTATTGATGGATTTATTTTTCTGTCCCATCCTTTATTTTAAAAAAATCCCAGGTTGGTAATACAATAGTAAAACAGCCAAATAAGAAAGAGTATTGAAAAATAAAGGGCAACACGTCTTATTCAAATAATGACATTCAGCAAAGAGAAACAATAGCACAAAAAGATTGTTATAAACCATTCATCAACGTTGAGGTAAAAAGACAGGCCACACCCTGACCCAAAATGTCAGTAAACTGGCATAGGTATACAGAACCTAGGGATGTGGTGGCGCTGCGGGTTAAACAGCAAAGCCTTTGGACTGCAAGGTTGAAAGATCAGCAGTTCAAATCCACGCAACGGAGTGAGCTCCAATCGCTTGTCCCAGCTCCTGCCAACCTTGCAGTTCGAAAGCATGTAAAAATGTGAGTAAATAAATAGGTACCACCACGGTGGGAAGGTAAGGGCATTCCAGGTCTAGTTGCTCTGGCCACGTGACCACGGAAACTGTCTACGGACAAAATGCTGGCTCGATGGCTTAGAAATGGGGATAAGCACCGCTCCCTAGAGTCGGATATGACTGGACAATTTGTCAAAGGGAACCTTTACCAATATAGAACCTACCGAGACTGAGAGTGGAATTTTCCTTCAACATGGTGATTAAACGGTATCCTGCCTGAAACTGTAGCTGAGAGAACCTTAACTCATGTCACTACCCCAAGTAATTCCTCTAGTTGTTGGCCAATAAGATGTTCTCTCCCCCACAGCTAAGAGCTTGGATCAGCGTGATCCAAGGAGACTTGTGGAATAGTTAATACCTTGGAAGACAGGAAGAAAATTCAAAAAGATCTCGATAGGCTTGAGCACTGGGCTGAAAACAACAGAATGAAATTTAACATGATAAGTAAAAAGTTCTTCACTGGGGGGGGACAAATGCATAGTTACAAGATGGGGGTTACTTGGCTCAGTAACACTATGAGTAAGAAGGATCTTGGAATTGTTGTACATCCAAAGCTGATTATGAGCCAACAGTGTGAGGTGGCTGCAAAAAAGGCCAATGCTATTTTAGGATGCATTAACAGAAGTACAGTCTCCAAATCCCATGAGGTACTAGTTCCCCTCTATTCAGCACTGGTTAGTTCTCATCTTGAATACTCTGTCCAGTCCTGGACATCACACTTCAAGAAGGATGCCAACAAAATGGAGCAAGTTCAGAGGAAGGTAATGGGGATGATTAGGGGTCTGGAAACCAAGTCCTATGAAGAAAGACTGAGAGAACTGGGCATATTTAGCCTTGAGAAAAGAAGACTGAGGGGAGATCTGATAGCACTTTTCACATACTTGTAGTCATACAAAGGAGCAGCAGGATCTATTTTTGATCATCCCAAAGAGCAGGACACAGAACAATGGGTTCAAGCTACAAGAAGCCAGATTTAGCCTGGAAAAACTTTACAACTGTTAGAGCAGTAAAACAATGGAACCAATTACCTGGGGAGGTGGCATTAGTAGGTTAAATGTTTTTGAAGATACTGCCCTTCTGAGCTGTAAGACACACTTCACTGCCTGCGGAGGGAGGATTCATACTGGATGCTGTGCTTTACTGCTCTACTGCTGCGTAACAAGATTGAGGGAGACAGAGAATAGAGGAGGAAGGTGGGAGGAGGAAGGTGGGTACGTAGAATATGCAGAAGGAGGAGGATGAGAGTGTCCTGGAAGCGGAAATGCAGTGTACTTAACCCAGGTCATCGGACCACCCACAGAGGCTGCAGGCACCTGTAGATGAGCAGGGGAGGCTGGAGAACACCCGCACTGCAGGGGAGAACATGTAATTTTGACACTGACTTGAGTATAAGTCGAGGGGGTTGCTTTTTCAGCAAAAAAATGTGCTGAAAACCTAGGCTTATACTCGAGTATATACAGTATTTTATGATTCCTTCCAGTAGCTGAAACCTAATCTAAGGGGTTTGGAGGATGTTTAATCAAACCTGGAAACAAACAGGCAAATTGTACAGTTCGTTCACAATTAGCATTAGGTGACCACAGACAAATGTCTTTGTGAATATCCCAGTAGTTGTGTTTTCACACCAGGTGCAATTTCTGGACAGTTTTCTAGGGCAGCCCCATGTGAAACATATTAGAACAATCCAAGTATTAACAATGGTCAAATATGCTGAAGGAAGCTAGGTGTGTGAAGCTTAAATCTCAGTGGCCAACACATCCGTAATGCCCATGTGGCAGACATGTTTCTCACCTCCAAGTCCAAAGCCCTGTTATTGGTTTTACGCTCTTCACTGGCACCCTGGAACGACTCCAGCTTCTGTTTGGTCACTGTAAGCCACTGATGAAGTTCTGATGACTTGTTGTTAAACATCCAATGTTCTTGAGTATTTTGCTTACTCTGAGACATTATGTTCTAAGAAGAAGACCAGGGAAAACTAAGCAATGACAGCAATAGTATAGCAAGTGCTTTTCATTGGTTGAAAACAGAGACAGTTTTAAGACGATTAGGGAGTGAGGGTGAAGCTCTCTGCTTAGCCACCCTATGGCTAGAATAGTTCAGAGCAAAGATTCTAACTAAACAAATAAAACATTCAAGCAAACTGAAGTTTCCTTTTCTGAGGTAAATAATAAACATTACTGTATGGAAGTTGTTTTCACACTTTCTGACTTTACGAACAGTTTGATTTGCCTGTCAAGTCCATACCTCTCTCTCTCTCTCTCTCTCTCTCTCTCTCTCTCTCTCTCTCTCTCTCTCTCTCTCTCTCTCTCTCTCTCTCTCTCTCTCTCTCTCTCTCTCTCTCTCTCTCTCTCTCTCTCTCTCTCTCTCTCTCTCTCTCACACACACACACACACACACACAGAGAGAGAGAGAGAGAGAGAGAATAAGAGGGGGAAAACTCTGTCTTAAAAAAAATCACTTGAGATAACATCTGAATCATAACAATAAAAGGGGTCTATTTTTTTAAAACTAGCACAAAACATCCAAGCCCTTGCATATTTATTATGCACCAACAAATTGATTCTGAATTATGGCTGCCCTTTCCAGGGTTTTCTAAGTAATGATGAGCACTCAGAAGTGATTTACTGTTCTTTTCTTCTGGGGGTGCCCTGGGATTGTGCAATCTGACCAAGGCAATGGCTGAGTTATTCAGCCAGCCTATTCAGATCTGGCCGCATGGCGGTGCTCTAAGAATAAAATATAAACTGCAAGCAGAAAGTTCCCTGCCACCTAGAAAGCAGCCCAGGAAAGAGGATGTCTTTATATTAAGAGACAATTGTTTCGTCTGTATGGCTATTTTCACATTTTATTCTATCAGAACTGAAGGCTTGGACCGGTACTCATGTCTACCTTCTACTGAACACAGATCCTCTTGTAAAACTATCATATTACAATTGTATTTGTGACAAAAGGTTTCTCTTGGGGCTTGGATGCACTGCCAAAGGCATCACAGCATGTAGAACAAAGTGAAACAGGGAATCTTGAAACAATTACAGTGGTGCCTCGCAAGACGATTGCCTCACGAGACGATTAATCCGCAAGACGATTAGTTTTTGCGATCGCTGTTGCGCTGTGCAAGACGATGGTTTCCTATGGACGATTTTCGCAAGACAACGATTTTCCCCCATTGGAACACATTAAGTAGATTTCAATGCATTCCAATGGGGAACCGTGTTCCGCAAGACGATGTTTTCTATGGACGATTTTCGCAAGACAACGATTTTCCCATTGGAACGCATTAAATAGATTTCAATGCATTCCAATGGGGAATGCATTCCATAAGACGAAGTTTTCGCAAGACAGCGATTTTCACACTCAGGGCCTTCTTGTATCTGGAGAATGGTTTGGAGCATCTAAAAAGCTACTGCTTTAAACTTCAGTCTAAAGAAAATTGCTTCATAAATGGAAGCAGGTGATCCAGTTTGCAATGCACAGAATAAAAACTAGAGCTTTATCTTGGGATGCTGCTTTAAAAAACAAAACCCAAATAGACTACATTGTCAGCTAGTGAAAAATCAAGTCCACATCCCTACATTAAGTTGTTACCATCTCTACCCTAAGCCTGGCTAGTTAAATTAAAATAATGTTTCAAGATCGTTATTGTGGGAGTTGTTAAGTAATTTTATATCTTTCACCAACAAATCACATAAATCCAGAGTGACACCTGATGCAGCCTTACTAGTTTTGGAACCATTCATTTTTTGTAGCTATTATAATCCTCTTGCAGTAAACTGCCCTGATGGTACGGTAATAATATATAAAAGCTGGGCCAATACCTGAAGCAATAGAAAGGAGAGAGGAAAAATATATATGGAAAAACACAAGGATGGATTTTTTTAAGCAAGGGCTTGGATGTTTTGTGCCTTAGGCATCATAGAATAAAAAAGTTTTTTTTAAAAGAGGGTCTTTTCTCTACTGGTTACTGAGGGTACAACAAGACAGTTAAATTATCCCTGGCCAGATTGAGCTAAAAAGGTCGCTTCAAAGTACAGCATGCCACTTAAATGAAGGGCTTAGCCACACTGGGAAGTTTGGTGGGGGTCCAGTCCATGCTTAAAAGTTTCTTATTTGAAGTGTGATTCCTTTTAACTCTCACTTGAGCAATTTTTCTGTCCACACTGAAGATTGTATTAGGGATCCTCTTCTCCCAAGACAAAGTTTACTCATCAGTAAGTTTACCCAGTTTACTTGCAAGTAAAGCAGTGGCAGAATACTAGCTGAGGACAGCTGCAGTATGAGGGGAGAACACTGGGGTGAAGATTGGGGGGACAGAAGGGAGGAAACGATAGGTTACCTACCTGTAATTGTAGTTCTTCAAATGGATCTCTGTGATTCACCCTATGGGTAATCTGCGCATCCGCACTTTCCTTCTTTTTGTTTTCACATTTCTCACAGAGGTTCTCAACGTGGAGGTTGAAAGAAACTGAAAGGAGAGCCTTGGCAACAAGGTACATATACCGGGGGGAGGGGTCTATGCTAATGTATTTTCCGTTGCCACTGCAGAAGCTCTAGAATATTCCGATGAGGCTATATGCATGTGCAGATTACCCATAGTGCGATTCACAGAGGCCACAAAGAACAACCCCTAATTTCACACACCCCTCCACCTTTCTCCTCAGCTGGGGCTCTGCTGGGGCTGCATTGCCTTTATTTATTTATTTTTATTTATTTTATTAGATTTATACCCTGCCCATCTAGACCAAAGGTCTACTCTTGTCCGGGTAGAGCCCAAGGCCTTTTGAGGGTAGAGCCCATGGAGTCAACATAGCTCCCTTCCCTGCCTTTTCTCTCAGACCTCATTCAAGAGGCTGGGGTGAGCTTCCTTTTTGTGTTTTTTTTAAACAGTAAATGGCATATTGAAATGGCCATGCATCAACTTGCCGTGGCTTTAGAATTTCACTGCATCAGTTAGGGAAATATTAAAAATAAAAGATGAAGATAGAGGAATGGGGTTCCTCCACCCTCACTTTCATTGCCACATCCCACCTAATACATCACAGGGTCTCCTCAGAGTCATTTTGGTGAAGGTACCATTTATGAAGGCTAAACAAAGCTATCTTGCATCTCATTGAATTGTGCCCAAAAGAATAAATGCCCTACAGCTGTTCCAGAAAAGTGTGTGACAGCTCTTAAAGGGGAGGGATGTTTCTAAGTAGAAACATGAGTAGACAAGGTCTTTTTTTCATGTTAAGTGTCATCACATTTCCATATACTATAACTATATGCCAGTGTGGATAAGATAAGCCTTGCATTTATGCCTCAAAGTAGCCTTATTTAGCCTGTTCCTCTCACTGGGAAGAGGGGGCAATCTCTCCCATAAGCAGAGATTCCTATAACACCAATTCCCCTGCAGGAAGAATCAGGCTCCATCTTTTATTAGGCACCCTCACGGAAACCAAGTTCTTGGTCTCCCTTTTTTTTATGGTCTTCCACATCCCTGGTCTCCACTCCTGCTCTTTCAGCAACCTCCCAGGACCCTATGCCATGACGTTTTGGTGGGAGGCGCCATCTTGCCTCAAGCAGCAAAATGTCTTGGGTTAGCCCTGCTCCCAAGGCACATATTCCTACACTAAACTTCCATGTTTCCCTCTGCTTGGTCTAGAGTCCTATGGAAGGGAGCAAAACTCACCTTACTTTGCATGGGCTGGCTAACATGCCCTCTGTGGAGAAAAAGGAGAGGGAAGTGGCCCAACAGTGCAAAATATGCCCTTTGATTGGCTTCACCAAAATCTGATTTACCTCTAGAGACCTCTTCAGGAGCTGATAGTTGGAAGAAAGCTGCTTTATTTTATGCTTCTGTGCTGGGTCAGGCTGAACAAGTTTCTCCAGCTCTTCCATTTGAACTCTACACTCTGCTATGTCTTCATGGATGACCTGTAGAAGATGATATATTTATTTTATTTACCCACTTACTTTGCTTATTTCTTTCTTTATTTCACTATACTCAACCTTTCCACCAAAGAAGGGCACTCAAGATAGCTGGCAATGCTAAGATCAAGTAGAACAAATACAATTTAAAAACTATAACAAGAAATGAAAATGTAATTAAAACAGATGATAAAAGAAAGGACAAACCAAGGCCACTTGGTTAGAAGCCCCTTCCACACAGTAACCACCTCCCACTTAATTACTCAAAACTTGTCAGATTTAAACAGTCTTTGCCAACAGAAGGTCATCCGGCAGCCAGCTAGGCAGCCTGTTTTGTCCAAATGTACGCTCCACAGATTGAGGAGAACCACAAAGGCAGGCCTGATATTTGGCAAAAGGTGTCCTTCAAGTTGCTACCTAGGGCCCATGTGTTCAGCAAGGCACCAAAGAAACATGTTGGTGTTATGTCTTAAGGAGCAGGAGCTCAAAAACATTACTTTTTTGGCCTATAATCTTTGGGACCTTTAGCAGTCCAAAAAGTAAGCTCTGAACAGTACCTCTAAGTGAGGACAGAACAGATGGGATGCAAAAGATCCAAATAATCTTTCCCAACTGTTTATCCTGCTCTCTTTTTAAATAGAAAGTTTTTTGGGGGGGGAAGCATGTATAGCAAGCATTTCATGCATTTTAGTGGAGTGCAACTGAAATCTGGTGGCAATACTAGGAATATTCCAAATTAAAGAAAGCACGGGCGTGCCTTAAAAGGTTTGTAGTGGTTTGACGCTGTTTCAGCAGCGAATTGTTACAGTACTTTCAAAGCAAATAAAACGTTTTGTTGTAAATCTTGTTTTCACCTCTATAGCTATTTTGGCAGCAAGGAGAGGGGAGGTACAGCCCACGATAGGAGATGACACTGACCTGCAAACGTGCTGAAGTTGCACACAATAAACTTGCTCACTTAGCTGCCCATGAAATATACTGACGGTGCTATAAAAACAGTAATCTGCCTAGTGTGGAGATACCCCTGCATCAAATCCACTGCATAATGAATTGCTCTCACTTACTTGTAGCCTCTGCAGCCGGGCTTGTTTCTCTGTCAGATCAAGCAATGGTTCCTTCTCTGCTTCTAATTTGATTCTGAGAGCAGACAGCTTCTTTTGCAAAGGCTCGAAGGCCGCATTAAAATCTTTGTGCTGAGATACCAAAGCCTAACGAAGGGGAGAAAGAAAGAGCGAAACTAGATTTCATGCCCATCTCGCTCGTGGAATTGTCTTCCTCACTCTGCCAAATCAACAGTACAGATCTCTGAGTCTGCCACTGTCCAAATGACATAAGACTCCAGAGTCTTGGAGGATCCAGAAATTATCTACTGTCTTACTGGTTTACTCCAGAAACCACTCACCTGCAACCTAGTTTTCCTCTGAAGGAGACCTTTGTGCAGGTTTTCCATTTCCTCTGCAGCATCAGCTGCATTTGCCAAGAGTGACTTTGCTCTCTCCTCCTCAAATATGCTGCTCAGGAAATCCTTTTTCAGCTGTATCATCAAGAGTTGTTCTTTAAAACGGGAATTTTCAGTCAGAAATTGCTATGAGGGAAAACATGTTATTAGTCTTCCTTCCTTCCGTCCTTCCTTCCTCATATATCCATACTGGCCATTCATGCATGTACAAATGAAATCGTATATGTCATAGCAGCAAATTCCTGCTAATTAACAAGATGCCAGATGTGGGTTCTGGTTGTGTGCCTGTCAACGACCAGGTACACAACCAGGAATGCAAACAGCACTGTGTTAATTAGTGGCAATTCATCACAATGCATGATTTGAGTTATGCCCACATAAATTGCCAATAACATTCTGACCCTGATTTTTTTAAAAAATATTTCACCCTATAGTTAGTAGGCAATCAATAGTAATCTCTATATAACAATTACAGTCAATCTTAGATCTTAGAACTGCAGATTTGGAAGGGACCCTACGGTTCATTGAGTCTAGCGCCTGTAAAGTGAGGAATTGAACTCCCAACCTTTGGCTCCAAAACTAAATACCTCAACCATTGAGCTATTGCAACAATGATGGAGAATTCACTCTTCATATCTTTCTATGATGTGCCATTCCCAACCCACCCTATCTATCTAGTACCTTGTGCTATGCAAGCAGCAAATTTGAACACTAAGGAACACCATGACAAAATGTCTGAAAACTGATACGTGTCCTTCTAGGCTCTTCCTTTCTATCATGGGAGAACTCAGATTCCCTGACAAAATATGATGGGTAGGCCATAAGATATGGAAGACTGAAAAAAAACTGTTATATAATGCAACACAATAAAAAGGTAAAGGTAAAGGTTCCCCTTGAATGGGAGAACTTCCCTGACAAAATAGGATGGGTAGGTCATAAGATATGGAAGATTGAAAAAAAACTGTTATATAATGTAACACAATATATGATATAAAATCTAATACTGTATACTACAATGTCATGTCAGACATCACAGCGAGACAAACAGTCAGCATTTACTCTACTGTGACCAAGAATCAGATATGACAAAGATACAGGGACTAGTTTGCTTCTCAGTGCCTGGAAATTTTGGGATTTTCCCCAGACAAGGAACAGTTTACTCCAAACTGTATCTCTCTATGTACTTCCTTCACTTTCTCCCATATGTAAGTATAGCTGATATTTGTTTCTACAGGGAGCACAGCAGCAATAGACTTGTGGGACACGGCTGCAGTGAAGACAAAGCCAGCCTCTTGACCTAAGGGAGGATGATCCAGTTCTCATTATCCCTTAATGTAACACAATATATGATATAAAATCTAATACTGTATACTACAATGTCATGTCAGACATCACAGCCAGACAAACAATCAGCATTTACTCTACTGTGAGCAAGAATCAGATATGACAGAGATACAGGGACTAGTTTGCCTCTCAGTGCCTGGAAATTTTGGGATTCCCCCAGGCAGGGAACAGTTTACTCCAAACTGTATCTCTCCATGTACAGTACTTCCTTCACTTTCTCCCATATGTAAGTATAGCTGATATTTGTTCCTACAAGGAGCACAGCAGCAATAGACTTGTGGGACACGGCTGCAGTGAAGACAAAGCCAGCCTCTTGACCTAAGGGAGGATGATCCAGTTCTCATTGGTTGGGATTCTGCTCAAATAGGGAACAGGGGGAGGCAATGTCCTTCGACACACAGAAGGCAGGGGCTTTTGCAGTTTGGAAACCTTCCTATGATATTTTTTTCTGCTGAAACAAAAGTGTAAATGTTATTTCCAAAGAGAATACTTCTCCATGGGGGTGGTTCAACAGCTGCACAAATTATATGGCGGCAAAGTTACAGGCCTGTGTGTCTACATGCGCCTGGGCATATTGGAACAAACAGGCATTCCACAGGGTTCAAGAGAACCTGTCACCTCAATCTGATGCAAGAAGGCATTGGTCAAGGCCGGGTCGGAAACATTTGCTGTGGTGTCCAGGAGCCTCTGAGCTGATGGTTTCCACAGCTGGAATTCCCTCAAAGGGTTTTGGAACCGTTGCCTCAGTTCTGTTTCAGTCTCAGCGCTCATTTTGCACATCTTCCCTTTCAGGCTGTAAAAATAAACAGGAAAAAAAATCACACTTAAGACCAAGGAAGAGATACAAAAAGTCCTGCTTCTCCTTTTCATTGAAGGACAAACGGCTTGTTTCTTTCCTTTCCCTTATTAAACACAATGAAGCTCAGTCTCTGTTTCATATGTATTCCTCTCTATTTGCTTCCTGGCAGCTGCTGCTATCAGTCAAACAATCAACAGCCCCCCCTTTTTAAAAAGATACCAAGATACACATTCCATCCTGCAGCTTGTGCCTTGGTGAATTACAAGAGACTGACCCTATAATGGAATCTCAAACTAGACATTAAGGGAGGGTGAGCAGCTTTAGCTCTCCAGATATATTTGGTTTATAATTTCAGGATGTAAAAAACATTTTCAATATTTCAGAGCCCCATGGTACAGTGGTTAAACTGCAGTACTGCAGTCAAACTTCTGCTCATGATCCAAGTTCGATCCTGATGGGTTCAGGTAAGTGGTTCGAGGTTCACTCAGCCTTCCATCCTGCCGAGGTTGCTAAGCTGAGTACCCAGCTTGCTGGGGGGCAAAGTGTATTTGCATAATTATGTTGTAACCTGTCTACAGAGTGCTATAACACTATGGGGCAGTATATAAGCTAAAACAACAACATTATTTCTTATCCTTGATGAAAAATGGTGCCTCTACCTTTGTACCTCATCATGAACATCGTCAACTGCTATGAGTTTTTTTTTTTGATCCTGCACGAGAACAAAAGACCATCACTTAAAAACAACAACCACCACCACCTTGGATATTGTCCTTTAATTAGGGGTGATTTGGCACTGGTATGACATCATCATCACTGCACAAGTGGAGCTGTGTGACAGGTTAGCCACTGCTTGGGCACAAAAATACTTTTGCACAAATATTGTGCAATTTTGCAAATCTTTCATTAAAAAGCTCCAAAATGCACAAACTGGACAGAATCTCTTGTAATTGTGCTTGGTGGATAGAAAATGAAACTAGCAAAGATTTACATCCCTAGTACAATTTTTAAGATTTGTCACACTTGGTGAGAGGATTGATAGGCCCCAAACACTTGATCGCCCAATTAGCCCATTTCTCTCTTATATAACAGGATGTTCACAAAGATTCAGATTCAGCCATCAGACTTGCAAGTCAAACTCAAGTTTTCTTTCTAATGACCAAACAAAGAACAGCTAAATACAAGATACGGAGGTGAGAAAAGCATATGCTGTGACATAGACGTGATTCAAACTTGGAGGAGCTCCTTTTCCAAAACTTTGCCAAGAATATTGTGTAATTTGACCCTGAATTTTTTTTCAAAAGAAGTATTAAGTATTAACTGTAAGAGAGCCATCTGCTATAAGATAAAAAGGCAGAGGGAGAGAACACAAGGTTCAATCAAGCAATAACTAGTCAGAACTATGTATAGATAGGTAAAAGATTACAGTGGTACCTCGCAAGGCGACAAACCCGCTAAATGACGAATGTGCATAACGATGACTTTTTGCGATCGCTATAGCGAGTCGCAAAACGGTCATTCCAATGGGGGATTTTCGCTGGACGTTGATTAGGTCCATGCTTCGCGAACTGTTTGTTCGCAAGACAACTATTTTTACAGCTGATTGTCGGCTTCGCAAAATGGTTGCCCTTTGTTTTCTGGACCCATGCTTCGCAGGACAGCCATTTTTACAGCTGATCAGCGCTAGCAAAATGGCTTCCCTATGGGCGATCTTCGCTGGACGTCGAGGTATTTTCCCCACTGGAACGCATTAAACCAGGTTTCAATGCATTCCAATGGGGAAACGGATTTCGCATGGCGACGATTTCACTAAACAGCAATTTCAATGGGATGGATTATTGTCACCATGCAGGGCACCACTGTATTTTGTTTATTTAATTATTTTTGGAATTTGGCTTCTAGAATCTCACAGTGTGTACAGGCAGTGATCATTCTGGCTCTGGGCTTCAGGGAATTGTAGCCCAAAAAAGCCCTGTGACAGTGCTTAAACTGCAGTACTGCAGTCAAGCTTCTGAGCACAACCTGCTGCTTAATCCCAATGGATTCAACTAGCTGGTTCAAGGCTGACTCAACCTTCCATCCTTCTGAGGTAAATAAAACAAAGGGCAAAGTGTTGTTTGCATAATTATGTTGTAAACCACCCAGAGAGTTCTTTAGCACTATGCAGTGGTACCCAAGATGAAACAACAACAAAAGAGTTACTCTTCTCATTGCTGGAAATAAATCCATTGACTTGGGAAGGAATGATCTTACCATACAGTGGACTGGCTACACAAAAACAATCCCCCAGTTACAACACAATTCATCATCTTTCCACTGACTTTAGCATGTACCCAGAGGACACTTTTAAGGCAACCTCCATAAGCCACTTCTTTCATGGGGAGACACTCTCTCTCCCCTCAGGCCCCCTTTTCCTCTCAGCTATCCGAAAAAGACAGTGTTCCTCAGGATTAAGTGACATGCTGAGTTAAACACATATTGTGAGGCTTGTAGTCCCTTTAATAACTATGCACGTTCGTCCTGGTGTGGATCAGAACAAATGTGCATGATTTTTCTCACTTTTCCTTCTTTTTAAAACCGCTATGCTGGAGGAAAAAGTTTGTAACAGTTTCTAAATGAAACCCGAGGAGAAAAAATGATCCTTATGTCTGTCCTAGATCAGGACTGTCTATCCTTACTTTAGAGTTTAAAAAACAACAACAGAACATCATGATACATAACTAGTTGTACACAACTACATGTTTCCTATAGTGTGTCATCTGAGTCTCATTTGCCAGCTATTCCAACCTGCTTCTCACAACCTGCTTTGAAATAACTTTCCACGGCCTCATTCTTCAGCCACACAGAATATAATCTAAATGGGCTTTTTGACAAATATTTTCTGGATATGAATACTTCCAAGGGAGACACTTTTTTATGCTGCTAAACAAGGTATCATCATTGCCACATCACCATCATCACTGTTGTCACCATTACCACTATCATCATCATAATCAAGCCAGCTTTCTATATCTAATGATATTTATTTACCTACACAAAAACTCCAACCACCACCCACAGCAAAAAAGAGGCATAATCAAAACACTGGTAGACCGTGCAAATCGGAACTGTGAAGCTCAGTTTCTCAGCACTGAACTCACCCATCTGAATTGGGCCCTCCAGGCAAATGGCTACTCCAAAAATGAAATCACAAGAGCCATCAAACCAAGAAAACAACACCGAACGGAAGAAGAAAAACAGCCACCCACAAATAAAGTATTTCTGCCATACATCAAAGGGGTCACGGACTGCATGGGGAAACTTTTGAAAAAACACAACCTAAAAATAGTATCCAAGGCCACCACAAAAATTCAACAAATTTTACAGTCAGCTAAGGACAGAAGGGACCCCCTCACCACTGCAGGAGTATACTGGATATCTTGCAGTTGTAGCCAGATATATATTGGCACCACAAAACGAAGCATCCACACCAGAATCAAAGAACATGAGAAACACTGCAGACTAAAACAACCAGAAAAATCTGCAGTAGCTGAACATGCCCCAAAACAAAATGGACATGAAATTCTATTCCAAAAAAACTAAAATACTGGACAACACCAGACTGCACAGGGAAGCCATTGAAATCCACAAGCACCAGCAGAACTTCAACAAAAATTCAGAACATGGCCAAAGAGCCCGAAAACCCCACAACAACCATTGGATCCCAGTCGTGAAAGTCTTCGCAAATACATTGATATCATTTAATTGATTCATATACCAACCATTAGTGAACCCACTACTCTGGGCAGTTTGCAGAATAAAACATAAAACCCTCAACCCCCTAGTTCCAAACTCATTTATCAACACAATCAAACTGGCAATATACCAACTTGAACAAAATAATTAAAAAAGACCTACATTTAAAAAATAATATTAACAACATCTGGGGATAGGTTCTTAAAGGCTGCTTTACAGAGTTCCAGGGTTCTTCAATATCATAAAGCAGAGAGAAAAGCTGCCATAGAACAGATCCTTTTACTTGATGGCAGGCCACAGCATTCTTATTTCAAGAGTTACAAAATCACGCTGGCACACACTCAGAATAATTTAGGAGGAACTCGTGCTCTGCAATTTTTTCTACCCCGTCCCTGTCCCTATCGTGAGAGGTTGTGAACGTCCCACCGTTCCCTAGAAAGAATCAAGTCTCTTACGCCGTTAAAAACAAATCGGCCACCATCTGTCATCTTTGCTGCAGAAAAAATTCAAATTTTCCATCACTTGCAACTCCTTGCTGGAATGAATCCCAGACTTGGTTTCTGAAATCTCAATGGCTGCTAACGACTCATCTGATCAGCACAAACCTTCTTTTCAGCTTGCCAGCATGCTCTTTACTTGACAAAAGAATATCTGCTTTTCGGAGGCAAACAAAATTTACAATTTCCTCTCCAAGTTTACAAAAGGTGTGTCTCTATGCTTGTCACTTCCGGGTTTCAGTTGGCCTGGAAGTGGAAGTCTTTTGCCAAAGTTCCGAAAGAGAGAGAGAGAGAAAGAGAGAGAGAGAGAGAGAGACTTTCGCAGTCATCTGTTCTCACTAACTGTAAGCAGGAAATAGGAGGGTGGATATTACAAGCGAGAATGGGCCTAGCTAGAAAACCACAAAGGAAATGAAACCGGCAAAACAAATTCAGGAAGGAGGATCATACGCAGGCATGTAGTTGTTCATGAATAGCACCACAGATGTTACCACAAAAAAAACCAGCAGGCTCAAAGCATAAAAATAAGGTAACAAATAAGATTAATAATAATCTTAGAACTGCAGAGCTGGAAGAGACCGTATGGATCATCGAGTTCAGCCACAGTCAAGGAGGTAGAATGGGGAATTGAACTCCCAACCTTTGGCTCCGCAGCCAGAGACCTAAACCACTGAGCTATGTTCCCTATACGGAAAGTTCTAAAAAGCTGTCCAGTCTAAAAGTCTAATTTCAGACTCAGCAGCCTAAGCCATCCAGCAGGCTCAAAGCATAAAAATAAGGTAACAAATAAGATTAATACAGTGGACCCTCGACTTACAGACGGCTCGACTTACAGACTTTTCGAGTTACAGACTTCTCTGGCTGCAAAATTTAGATTCGACTTGCAGCTAGAGAATCGACTTACAGACCAGAAAAAAACCAAAATGGAATAAAAATAGAATAAAACCACTGGTTATGGGATTAATCGGTTTTCAGTGCATTGTAGGTCAATGGAGATTCGACTTACAGACTTTTCGATTTGTAGCCACCATTCCAATACGGATTAATTCCTTAAGTAGAGGGTCCACTATAATCTTAGAACTGCAGAGCTGGAAGAGACCGTATGGATCATCGAGTTCAGCCCCAGTCAAGGAGGTAGAATGGGGAACTGAACTCCCAGCCTTTGGCTTCGCAGCCAGAGACCTAAACCACTGAGCTATGTTCCCTATACGGAAAGTTCTAAAAAGCTGTCCAGTCTAAAAGTCTAATTTCAGACTCAGCAGCCTAAGCCATGATGTACCTGAAACCAAGCTGCACCTAAAACAGAGCGGAGGAACTAAAATCCTCGCCCTTGGATTAGAGTATTGGGAAATGACTGCAGAGACTGAAGTCCTAATATTCACACAAGGCAACTATGTTAGCCTAGGCTGCCTTACTGGGTTGTTGTAAGAACATAGAGGGAGGGAAAAATAGAACCATAGAGGCCACCTTGAGCTCTTTGGAAGAAAGGCAGGATATAAATATAATAATTAATCAATATACAAAGCGATCACTACCAATTCTTGGTTCTCCTATAACACTATTTAAGCACAATAGAGAAAGTTTGATCTTCCAGATGTTTTTGACATCAACTCCCATGAGCTCCCAGACAAATTAATGCTCAGGGATTATGGGTGCTGCAGTAAAAAAAATATATTAGAGGGCTGCTAATATAAGGAACTCCCCCTGCAAAACAGCCGTAAGTTGTTAAAATCCATCAGAGAGGACACTGGCATACAGTTCATTTACATGTGACTTTTACAGCTGGCATATCAGTGTAAATCAATCTGTTCCTTGCACTGTTTCTGTAACTCGAGAGCCACCTAGTACCCTGGTGTCATTTATATTAAACTTCTGCCCCTCCCTACTAGAGAAATACCTTTGATATTCACGAATAGCACGTATCACACTGTCAGAAAGTGGCTGTATGTCTTGTGAAAACCTGAACAACTCCTTAAGTTGAGTCTTCAGTCTTTCAACCTTTGATTCCTCTGCAGTAAGGGCGGCCCTTGTTGCCTTAAACACAAAAATATTATCATTATA